GGTTTGCTCGCCCCAATCCTGAACAGTGGGGAGCCCGACTGTGACCCTAACAAGGCTCATCCGGGGAGCTCTGTGAAAGGTGACTGTGGCAACCCTTCTGTTGGGATCTTTTTCTTTGTCAGCTACATCATCATCTCCTTTCTGGTAGTGGTGAACATGTACATTGCTGTGATTTTGGAGAACTTTGGTGTTGCTACCGAAGAAAGTGCTGAACCTTTGAGTGAGGATGACTTTGAGATGTTCTATGAGGTCTGGGAGAAATTTGATCCCGATGCAACACAATTCATGGAATTTGAGAAACTGTCTGATTTTGCAGCAGCACTTGAGCCTCCTCTTCATTTACCCAAACCAAACAAAGTGCAGCTCATTGCGATGGATCTGCCCATGGTTAGTGGTGACAGGATTCACTGCCTTGACATCCTGTTTGCTTTCACAAAGCGTGTTTTGGGGGAGAGTGGAGAGATGGATGCCCTCAGAATACAGATGGAAGATCGGTTTATGGCATCCAATCCTTCAAAAGCTTCCTATGAACCAATTACGACTACATTAAAAAGAAAACAGGAGGAAGTATCTGCTGTTATTATCCAGCGTGCTTTCAGACGTCACCTTTTAAAACGAACAGTAAAACAAGCCTCCTTTATCTATAACAAAAACAAAACCGAAGGAGGGGCTGATCAGGGTATGAAAGATGAAATCCTTATTGACAAGTTAAATGAAAACTCATTTACAGAGAAAACTGATATAACTGCATCAACAGCAGTTTGTCCACCTTCTTATGATCGTGTAATGAGGCCAGTCAAAGAAAAGCATGAAAAGGAAGATAAAGATGGTCAGAAATAAAAATCATAGATGTGCAAAATAGTTCATAGCCTGTAAGGATCATGTGTTTATGTCAACAGGACTCCTGAAGGAGGTCTATGCCAAACTGACAGTTTTTACAAATATACTGTACACTAAAGGTCAGTGCCTATTAAAAGACAGTGACCCCTTGTCAGTGACTGTGACTGTGATAAGAGGAAACAACTGTGACAGGAGGTTACTGTTCTCACTACCAGCTGACACTGCTGAAGAGGAGAGAAAAAATGGCTACACAGACTGTAGGGACCAGTTAAAGGGGTGCAAAACCAAGTCTTTGTGTGTTTAGCATAAAACAATATGGTAACTGTATCCACTGTTTGCATTTCAACTGCCACATACTTCATATTTTTACAAAATCTGTGTTGGTGGATTCATCTTGTTTTTATTCATATGTTGTTTATTATATGTGACTATTTTTGTAAATGGGGCTTCTGTTGGGGAAAGGGATTAAGTACACCTTTACAGGTACAAGGGCCAGATGTTCTATTATACAACTAATATACACAAAGAAATTATCTGCATGAAGGCATGCTGCACTTATAGATCATGCATGAAAATAACATTAAGTCACAAAGAAAAACAGGGTTTTTAGCATAGTGTTTTCAGAAAGGAATAACAGATTTTGAGGTGCTTAATCAATGTATTCATGTTGTATCATCTCCAAACAAGTCTTGGTATGCCTGTAAAGTCCCCTACAACTCACAAGAATAGTAGAGATGGTTTATTTTTTGCACAAACCATTAAGTTTCAAAAAGTGCAAACTTCTTTCTAGGTCTGGAGTCACAGATTTTGTCTTAGTCAAATGTCTTTCTGCATACAAATACGAAATGAATCTGCCTCAGCCCTCCAAATTGATCAAAAGGAGCCCTTTATAAAGTTGTTCTGCTTTATCCTGCAGTATTGTTTAGCCATCTTCAGCTCTCAGTAAGGTTGATGTTGTTGTACACGTTAACGAAAAGCCCTCTGCTATGTAAATAATAATTTTTAACCTGTGGTGCATGTTTGAGCAAACAGATAATGACTTCAGCACATTTATTGCATCAAATATGTACCACAATAAGTGTAGTGTGCAAGCGTTCAACAGGTAAAATTACGTATTATCTACCATTATAGATAGTTTGGATGCAATCAATGCATGTTTATATTGCCTATGCTGCTGTTCCTTTGACTGTCCAGGATTCTTAAACATGGAAAGCCATACATCTGAGCTAAGTGAAATAAACAAGACCTCATTCCTCCATACCATTAAGCAATATTTTGCAGCTATTTAGGAGCTTATTTGTTTTACATTTCTGAATTTTCAGTGAAAAGCATATAGTGTATATCCAAACTGTACAGACATGTTGAAAATTACTAAACCTGTTGAAAATAATGTTAGGATTTTATAAGCAAATATAAATACTGTAAAAATCATTTTATTTTATTTTTCAGCATTATGTACATAAAACAAGAACTGAATTTTATCTTCAGGTTGATGTCACACCATTTTTGTTACTTTTTGTCCATAACACTTTTTCACCGAAGAACTCCAGAGAACAAGATACAACTAAGTGAATGGATAGCTGTAGGTTCTTATTTTTACAGTATTTGCCAACATGTCAATACTTTCTGCAAAGTAAGTTCATAATTTGCTTCTAAAAACTAAGGTTTTTTGCAGTTGGGAAATGGTCTAAAGTTCAAACTGAATGTCTAAGCAGTGCCTGCATTCATAAGTTTTCAGATACAACCTTTCTTTCACAGAATCCTTAATCTTTTCTCATAGTTACTCACAGATTTTCTTTTATATTCATGCTGCACTAGAACAGCTTAAAATGTTATCTAGGGTCCACAATATTTTTTCACAAAGAGAAAGTAGCAAAATTGTATAATCCAACACATCAGGACATTTTATGTTTCTTACACAGGAAAATTAAATATAGATTACTTTTATTAAAATTAACTAACTCTGTATTAGTGAACTGCATGCAGGAAAATGCTACTATTACCCTAACTGATGCTAAAGAACATTATTAATGCGCCAAAATAATAAAGATTACATTTTTTATTGTATTTTTCTTTTCTCTTTATTATCTGACATTAATATAAAAACCATGGAATGAGAGGGTACTGAAAACCTTTACAGCCATACTGTTCTTTCACAAGCAAATCCTTAGGACTTGCTTGGCTTGTTAGTCACCAACTAGGAATTTCTACTTCAATGTATGTTAATGAGCATGGTGATTCTGCACATATCAATGGTTCTGCCCCGAGTGACCTCATAACTTCAGACTTCATACAGCAGCCCCATGCAGTGGGGTACGACAGCTGTGCTGTGTGTGTCCCGTGAGGCTCACAGCATTTACAGAAATGAGAATTGAGCATTCACGAGTATGCAAAGAGAAAAGGAGTATTGAAAATCGTACTGGATACATCCCCCAACTTGGATTAAGAACCAGTTCATTCCTGATGGCTACTGTTCACAAACAGGGTAGAGAGCATCATGTACTCAAGTGCATTTCTAAAAAAAGGTGAAACAGAGTTGGGATGAAGAACCACTGGTCTTTTCCTCAGGAATTTTAAGAATCTGTCTCAAAGCACCATGTTCCTAGAAGCAATCATTTGTAGATACTGAAAGGGAAAAATGCAAATGCTGCTGGAAATTGAGGCTCCTCGTTGTTCTTTATCAATTGCTTCAGTGAATTTCTGAAAATATTCATTTTAATGTTTACATAATTTTATATTGCATTTCCCTACAATTTACAATGAAAACACTCAAAGGTGAATACTGAACTTAGTATAAAACCAGTTTATGAGCAATTCAGTCTGTGAGCTTGCTCAGTGGCTAATGCAGAAATAAAATTTTATAGCATCTTCCCTGAAAATCATCAAAAGTCATTTGCGGGAGGGAAATGTTTCTCCTTCAAATTGTTCTTAAATGCATTATGAATTAAAAAAAGGTCTAAGACTTTGATAGAAAAGCCTAAGTATCAAAATAAAAAGATAAGTATTTTCAGATTCATATGTAGACAAGAAATGTCTTAGAAGTTTACCTTTAAAACTATGTAAAAAAACCCCGTTGTTTTTCATGCCACTTTTAGGTTTTAAATGTTACCGAAGCCAAAATGTTGCTTCAGAACAAGTCAAGCATAACTTAAACAGAAAATTCACAGGATTGTCTGGGCCAACAAGAAAACCAAATATGCTTACATGGTGCTTCTTTTGTCTCCTTCCTGATGAGGGGTTAAGAAGGGTGTGATGGAGGAGTGACAGGCGGGGTGGACTTGCTAGCTAGGAAAGCTCACTCTGAGCGCTCTCTGCTGGAAGAGTCAATCAGCTTCTCCTACAGCCTGAGCGCAGAATGGGTTCTGTTCTTGAACTGGGTGGCGTTCCTGACGGCTTTCCTGTTGGACGGAAAGCGCACCCGTTCCAAAGGAACGCCGTTTAGCAACTTTTGTTCCTGGTGTCTAGAAATTATGGCTGAGGATGCTTTCACCTCCAGAGGAAAATCCGAAAAACGAAAAGGGGAGGAGGGGAAAGCGACCTTTCTGTATCGGATTTTATCCTATTGCTATTTTATTTCTGAGAGAAGTGTCACGTAACTCGGAGTGCTCAGGGTTGAGTCACATTATGAAACCTATAGAGGGTGGGCCACTTAGCCGTTCAACCCAGAAAAGCAAGAAAACAATCAAATTCCCGAAGCTCCCATCCAGCATTCCGGCTGCCACCACTCCCGAGGGACAGCCGGCGGCACGGCCCACCCGCCGACAAGGGGCGCAACGGACACATTCCGCCCGCATCCACAAGTTTTTCTTCCCGTGCCTCTCCCGCCTCCTTCTCGCCCAGGCCAATGGCAGTTCGCCGCCCTCGCCCTTCCGGAGCCGCCCCCTCCGCCGCTGGGTAGCAACCATGGACGCCGAGGTGCAGCAGGTGGGTGCTGCCCCGCCCCGCCCCGGGGGAAGGAGCGGCTGGGAATGAGAGACGGAGCGGGGGCGGCCGGGGGAGCCGGGGCAGGAGGGCGAGCGGCCGGGCTGGGGCTGGGGCTGGGGCTGGGGCTGGGGCTGGGGCTGGACCGGGCGGTCGGCCGGCGCGGTGTCCCCGGGGCTGCCCTGGGTGAAACGGTAGCACGAGTGACCCACAGCCGCTCCCCCCGCAGGCGCTGCTCAATTACTACTGCCAGGAGGGGCGATTCCAGCACGTCCGGGCAGCGGCGGACGAGGCTCTCGGGCGGCTGGGCAGCGACCCCGTGCTGCTCTTCTACCGGGCCTACGGCGCGCTGAGGGCAGGTAATGCGGGATGCGGCCGCCACCGCCCGAAACGCTGGACGTCCTCGCCTCACAAAACTCAATCTTTAGTCAGCTGCATAGGGAAAAGCAACATTACAGAGTCTGAGTGTTTTCCATGTTGAGGAAATCACCGGTGTGTCGTGATCTATCACCGCTCCTCCCCAGTTTAAATGAAATTGATCTAGATTACATAGTGCATGGGTCAGGTAAATGGGTTCCCTAAGGGAATTTGAGCCCTGCCCAAATGCATGCAGTATTCGATCACAAAGTCATTCCCGTGTCCCAGCTAATAGCTCTCCCTTCAAAGCAGCTAAATCTAATTCTCTTGTATTGTCTGCCTCCGGGGAGCTGACAGCTCATACCTATTGGGGAAATCTCTGTGTACATTAAACTCTTCTGAGATGTTTATTTAGCTATATTTGCATTTCAAGGATGTCACAGGATATTAACAAATAACCCAAAGTGGCAGAGGGCTGTGGGAGGATCTAGGAAGGTGTGCTGATTTTGAGGTAGTGTATCTGTTCCCAAACTCACAGGTGTTTTTTATTTGTGTTACAATCATATAATTTTTCAAGATACTGTCTATCCTATTGGTATTCAAAATATTCACACAAGCAGAAAAAAAATCCTGGCTATATAAAGAAACAGGACCAAAAAGAGCTGCTCAGTGCCCTGTATGAAGAAAATAATAAATAGGATTTTCATCTTTATGGCGGTTGGCAGAACTAGCACGTAAGTCCTTTCAAGTTCTCTGCATCGAGATGCTGTTTTCTTTCTTGTGTCTGTTTGAAACACGCACAAAGAAGTGAAAGTGGATGTGTGAATAATAAACAAAAGCATGGAATTAAAAATAGGAAAATTTAAGTCAGATTGATGTTTGATGTTGATATTCTTTGTCTTGAAAAGTGTTATAGCTTATTCTGCAGTTGTTTTCCCTAGGTGATGTCCAAGAGGGTATTCGACAGCTGGAGTCACTTAGAAACAAACCGGATGTGTCACTTTGTACAGTGATGGCTCTGATTTATGCTCATAAAAAGAGCCCTAATCCAGGTATGCTTACTAAAACATGCTGCTTCTGTTTTAAACAGCTCTGTGTTAAAGGCCTGAGACTTGTTGGCTAATTCTGCCCTAATTTAAAAAGATATACTCCAGCTTTGCATTTGTTATAGGATTTGCTACTGAATTGAGGGACACTTACAAGATGGTAAACAAAAATCAAACCACAAAACTCTGAAGAGTAAGAGTGAACGTTAAAATAAAACACTCAAGTCTGATTTATCCACCATGATGAAAAAATCTTTGAAGGAAAAAAAATTGAATCAATCTTTCAAGTTTCCCTGGCCATACAAATTGAGAAAAAAAACTTTGTGAATCTTGGTATTCCTTTCTCCAATCTAAAAACTGGGACTTCCCATCAAGTGTGTTGATGGGAACCCTCTTCTGCCTTTTCCATCCATAACTGATAAATATTTTTAATTGTGAGGTATTGCAAATGTGTTTATTGATGTACAATAAAGAAAAAAGTGTTTGCTTAGGAAGACCTTGGCTTATATGCTGCTCTTTTGTAGTATTTTGAGGGGCTATCAATAAGAGCTCTGAATAAAACCCTTTCAGATCGAGATGCTATTCTAGAGTTGGATGCAAAATTGAAGGAGCAGCGTAAAACAGCAGGACAGAAGGCTCTCTACTATGGTGGCTTGTTTTTGTGGCATCTTGGTCGTGAGGACAAAGCCCGAGAATATGTTGATAGAATGATCAAAATTTCTGGTGGTGGTAAAGAGGTAACTGTTTCTTTCCTATGTAAAATATTGATAGGGCCATGTATACTGTGAAGCTTGACTTTAATGCATTAATGCTATTTGAAGGTTAACTATTTTCTGTTCTAGTACTTTCTTAATAATGTCATAAATTCATTTAACACAGCTGAGTAAATTCCCATAATAATTTTCTTGTCCGCCAAGTATTTGTTTTTACTTAGTAAATAATAAATAATGGCTTAATAAATGGAAAAAAAATCATTTAATAAATGGAAATAATACCTACTTAAGCCAGTATTGTTACTTGATACTGAGTATCATAATTCCTAGCAAAAAAATAAGCATGATAGTCTCACTAGAGGGAGACAATCTGTTTTGAATCTGAAGACTCAAAAATACCCAGAGGATTGCGGATTTAAATTTTCAGCAGTTGTTAAAGGCTGACTTTGCCTAGGGTTCTACTGATTTTTTTTAAAGAAATATGTTTAACTGTTGTATGTAGCAATGTCTTCTGCATTATATACAGACATCAAAATTCACTAGAATCTTTAATCTCTAAAGTGGTTTGTGAAAACTTAGTGTTATTTTTTTTTAAGGAGGTATTAGCTTTAGCTCAAGCAGAGAAACAAAAAATTGGGGAGTTTTTGTAGTCCAGCTTTTTGAGGCAGAGCTGTCAGAACTGAGTGCCTAATTGTTCTCTTAGGACACTACTATTAAACACAAATGTTGCTTGTGAGTTGTCCCACTATGTGGTTCATTACGTTGCTCAATTTGTAATTTACAGTTTTATGGTTGATACAGTATTACATGGGTTAGAAATGTGCACCTATTCTAGACATTAATTTGTGACATTATGAATTAAGTAATGGCTTAGCTTTTCAACTAACACTGATTAATAATTACAATTGGAAGTTATTTTAAATTATTAACGCATACTAATTAAGAAATAATTTATTAATAATGAAGAAATAATTATGGACACCACAGAGCATTAATATGTTAATTTCTAAAAAGACTAAGAATAGGTCAT